ACGTTTTGGACGCTAGTCCTTCGTCAGAGTAAAAAAAAAGCAAAAACTTTTTTGGGGGAAATCTGAATAACCACTACAGGATTTCTTATATGTTCGATATTTAAAATATATTGCACACATATGTAGACGGCCGAACTCCAATCTTACGAAAAAATTACTTTTCATCAAACCAACCAAAAAATTTGTCAGAGATCCATGGATAAAGATCGAAAAACTATTAAACATTGATAAAGATTAGGCCAGAAGATTAACAAAAGACAGAAAAGCCTTCAAAGGACCTTCTTCTTAAGAACTTTAATCTAGAATAGAATAGAGTCCCCGTTGTTCAGCTAATTCAGTGCTGTTAATAATGAAACAGAACTGATACTAATATATCATTTATGAAGTGTGTTTTCGTTTTTGTGTCGTTTTTTGTCTTTGACATATCATTATATTTATTCTCAATATGTGTCTTATATTCTCATTATAAAAGTTATCAATCAGAATATAATATATATATGAAAATTTTGTAAGGACAACTAACAATATCATTGTTTAGATGTTACAGTTGTAACCGTTCATGGGATTTTTTTGCTTGAAAAGTGCTTTTAGCCGTCTCATTACTGTGATTTTGATAAACATGCGAACTCTGTGTCTCAGAGTTGCATGCTGAAATTTTTTTTTTGCTGTTGCCAGTCAAAAATATGAAAGGTACCGACTAATTAAATAAATAAATGAAATAAATAAATGGGATTTAGCAGTGGCATTTCTACAGAGTAGCTATTCATCCACTGTAATTCCAATGGGAATTTAGGAGTTGATTTTTGTGGAGGGAGGAAAGCCGGGGAACCCGAAAAACCCTCGAAGCACAGGAGAGAACCAACAAACAACTCTACTCACATACGACGCCAAGCTCAGCAGGGTCGCATTAATAGGAGGCGAGCGCTCTCACCGCTACGCCACATGTGCTTCCCTAATTAGGTTTGATTAACAGCAGTGAAAAACCAAATTTCAGCGCGCAACTTGGAGTCGACACAGAGTTCGCATGTTTATGAATATAGCAGTCAACCACTTGTTTGCCCCCCAGTCAACTCCAAAAAGTCACGTAATTGATAGTAAGCAATATCATTTTAAACTTATGAATAGTTTCAAAAACTTCATCCGTAATCTTACGTCAAAAGGCGAGAATTTGTGTACTTCTTAATACCTCTAAACTATGTATGAACATTTTTTTGGAGGGGGGGGGGTTGTTATCAATTTTTCTGGGGGGTCATAAGCAGTGAAGGGTGGGCTTACAAAATAACATTAATGAGGGGGTTGTGAATTTGTTCGCGTTTTTTCCGTTTTTTCTGTTTTTTCCTCCAGCCCACCCCGAGGTATAATTAATATAAACCTAGCAGATAGAAAACTAACCATATTCAATGTCTCTGTCCTTCGTTGAGGACATTTCATTTATACCTACATGATACATGCTGAGTATTGCTAATTATTCATAAGTTGTTTATGGTAGACCAAACTGGGATAGCTAAGGTCTAGACTATTAAAACGATCATCAAAGAAACGTGTAACCCCTTTGTTCATGCATGTGTGATTGTCGCATGAACAAAGACAATCATTTACAAATGAACAACTGTCTGATTTTCGTTTTCTACTTACAACTTCAGGGCTAACTTCATAGTATAATGGTGCAGAGCTAGGACTTGTCTCGCTTCCACCAGTACCAGAAAATGGACCGTCTGCCATAACTATTCAATATTATATTTATTACAGTATTTTAAAATCTTGGTAAAATAAAATTCTACTCTTCCACCATCATGTGATGGAAGTATGATTTGGTTGAGGAATCGATAACAAGGCGACACCCAACGAAGTCGTACGACATCCTTACGAGAACTATTGGCAGGGGCCGATAGGTACGTCGGGGAACACTCGGGTCAATAATCGTAAGATGGCTGACCTAGGGAAAGAGGATGCGAGTCTCTTGTCTGATCAAAAGCCCAGCGAACAAGCACTTTTTCATGATAAGGGGAAAAGTCCTAAAGAGGTAAGTAGCTCTTTATAACAACGGTACGCCTAAATTWAAAAAAAATACATTTTGGCATTTTATTATGACAAAACATTTTGAGACAAATTTTGGGCCTTCGTCTAAGTTGTAACTTTGAAAAGATATCGTTGTTAGACTTCATCTAACTCAAGCTTGATTTCAAATTCAGTTTTCAGTAATTTCATATTTCATTTTTTGTATAAATGTCCCATTATACGCAGACTTGATATTCAAATTTGCCATACCTCGACCTTCTCACATGACACATGATCACATCAACTTGTTTGCAGAGAATGGTGTCAAAGTTAAAGGGTAGTTCCCATCCACTTCAAGCTGACTTGATAATCATCACTGCTTATATTTGGGAATATAATCACAAATCATGCAGATAATTGCTACTATCATGCATTACACAGAAACCCTTTGCTACCCTGGCAGAGACATCGGCATGCATCCATTGGGGGGGTGGGTGGGGTGGGTTGGGGGAGCTGGAGTAGCCCTCCTTAGACAGACAAAATATTAAACTTTTTCTATTATTTGTTTTTCCCCCATCTCATCTAAAAGGGCTAGGGTTTAGTTACTTCTATTTCCCAGGGGTATAAGCCCCTTGAACATAAATCCTAAGTCATAAGTCCCTGGAGGGGGGTACTCCCCTATATTTGCTATATGGGTATGTGCCGCCCCATAGGGTATGGTCTTTCGGCTTTTGGGTCTGGGGTAGGGTATCATTTTTTAACATTGTCTGGGATAGGGTTACGATTTGGTCGTTTTTGTTTGCTGGTGAATAGGCTACGCTTTCTGCCGGCACAAAAAAAGTAAAAATGCTAGTAAATATTGATTGCAATTGATTGTGAAATTAGGGTATTTCCGTCTTTTAGTCTGGGATAAGGTGTACAATTCTTAGTTTTAGTCTGGGGTAAGGTATGTGAAATCAAAATTTTAGGTCTGGGATGGGGTCAGGGTTTTGAGGTCCTGGCGGCACACCCCTACCCAAGTTGGGGAGGTAGTACCCCCCCCCCCCCCGGGTCATAAGTCCATGAACCCTAATTATCCAAACCATTTTTTAAAGGCATTGGGGGAGGGGGGGGGGTTGATGGTATTTAGGGGGCAGGTAAAAAATATGGCATTTAAGGGGGGCCACCCCTAAAATAATTAGATCAATAGAAAATTTATTTAAAAATTTATCATATTTCAATAGCAAGCCACTTTCAGTTTGAAAAGGTGCCATAAATTCTTTAATAATTCATGATTTTCTCTTTTTTCTTAGAAATTGTATTTGTACCTATTCATAGCATTGGTGGTGATAATGGTTGGGGTAGGTGCCAGAATGCATGTTATTGCTCAATACAGTCAACTCTCGTTACAGCGGACACCCTTGGGACCGTCACTTGGTGTCAGTAATAGTGAGCGTCTGCAATAGCAGGAATTATTTACRGTCATTTCTTTGTCAGTATATTTGTCAGGGATTTTTCTCCTGTCCGTAATAGCAAGGTGTCCGTAATATCAGGGTGTTCACAAGGCGAGAGTTGACTGTGTCTGTATGATTTTGTCTTGATCACTTAAAGGTTCCTCATTCTTTTGAGTAAAATTTTAGTCATATATACATCCACACTCAATTGAAGTATGTATTTTATAGGTCACTATTATCATATCAATGATAAGAGGAAGCACAACAGACTCTACTTACTTGTTGCTTGGGATAAGTATTTTATGTAAGTAATACCTATTTTTCCTCCTTCATTTTTCCTCTCAAACTTTTGCTGATTTTTTAAATATTAGATTTTTTAAATATTAGATAGTAATTTTCACTATATTTTTATTATATTTCATCAGTAAATTTCATTTTCATTATTGCTGTTGTTATCATCATTATTATTATTATTTGCAATAATTACAATTTATTAGTATTTTCCTAATTTTACGCAGTACATTATTATTATATTATAGTAGTACAAATATATAGTCTATATATATTCTCATATATTTTATATTATCGTAAAAATTTCACAGCTCACTGCTTTTTTTGATATTTAAATTATTTATGTTTCCTCTTTAAAATACTTGTCTTGATTTTTATCTTTTCAGCAATAGGGTTTGTGCAAGGAGTGTTGGTGAGTAATCATATTAATCCATTTGATTGATAATGGTTTGGCAGAAATACTTATAGTGGTATCTAGTAACAAGACCGATGATTGTAGCATGCATGCAAGAGGATACAGGGATCATGGAAATTTATAGCATCCTTCAACATTTTAACACCAATAACTTAAATAAGTTGAACAGCAAATTTTCTCTGGGAAGCACGGGTGGCATAGTGGTCAGAGCGCTCGCCTCTCATCAATGTGACCTGAGTTCTAGTCCCGCTGGGGCTTGGTGTTGTATGTGAGTAGAGATTGTTTGTTGGTTCTCTCCTGTGCTTCAAGGGTTTTCTGGGTTCTCCGGTTTTCTTCCCTTCTGCAAAAATCAGCTCCTAAATTCCAATTCAATCACGGAATGAGGGCCACAGGTTTGTTAGCCACTGGCTATTAAGTGCTACCCTCGTGAAAAAAAGGAAGTTTTTTTCCTCCAGGAACAGGGTGAAATTGCTAATTTTAGTGGTACCCAGCTGATCTGAAATTAGTGATGTAGATGATGACGTCACTGCAAAACTGACGTGTCATGAAGCCTGTGAAAATTGACCATTGAAAAAAATCRGTCCACCATTGCAATAAAAATATCAAACTCATTAATTATTGTGTTACTGTCATCAACCTCTTATTGCAAACATTATTTTGTGCTGGGGACAACTAGAAAACGTCACTGTTAATTTGTCCTCCAGGCTCAAATATCTCAACTAATCTCTATTCTCAGTCTGTATTGTCATATGCACAAATAATATGAATAGAAATTAGTGTAATTTTTCCTAGTTATCACTTTATCATAGATATTTATAATATATTTATGTTATATTTAAATTTCTCTATATTGTCACCAAATGTAATTAATATTTAAGAGCAATGAACTTCTGTTCTGTTCTGTTGCATTTGGTGGCCTGGAAATCAATGATGCCCTGAGGAAAGTGACACATCGGTTTTGAAACTTTCACGATTCTGATTGGCTAACATTTTTCCTTGTATCAGCTGGAGGTGAATGATAAATTCCCCAGCCTGTCCTTGGAGTCTGGGGGTAGGGTTTAAATTGACTAGTGCATAACACAGGGGCGGATCCAGGAATTTGTTAAGAGAGGGGTGCAGCGCACAAAGTTAACCCAGGGAGGCCTAGGGGTGCACCCCTTAGAATCAAAGGGAAAAAACATTATTTCGCATTGGTTATCTTCGAAGTAGGGGCACAGAGTTGAACCAGGGAGGGGTGCGCACCCCCTGCACCCCTCCCCTGGATCCGCCACTGTAACAAACTGCCCATATCACAATCGAAGCCAGAGAATCTAAACTAAAGATTACTTTTATCCATTTAAACACAAAAGACAGCACTGGCATGATAAACATAAACTAGGTTTATTCATTTTCATAATCAGTGCTCATCACTAGTGCTAGTGAAAATTAGGGCTCACTTGTCCATAGGTTAGTGGGGGTTTTGGATTACTAATATAATACCTGGGCTAGTAGATTACTCTGGTAGTCTCTACTGGTTTTAACTCCTGGGAGGTACTGCCTTTTTTCTAGTGGTAACAGTGACCAGCGCCCAGGGGGGGGGGGACTCCAGGAAAAAAGTACTGGGGATGCTCCTAGAAATTTTTCAAAGAGACTCCTAAAGAATAAGATTTTTAACCCCTAAGAGATACCACAACAAATAATATTAAATTTTTTATAAATAGTGCCTAGGATAAGCCATATTGATGCACGCTTCTCTCCTTTTCCGACACCCTAAAAGATACCAGAAAATGCTGATTTTCAAAAATTTGCATTTAACACCCTAAAAGATACCAAATTGTGAATTTTTACCCCTAAGAGATATGACGAGCATCCCCAGTACTTTTTTTCCGGAGTCCCCCCCCCCCCCTTCCCCCGGAGACCTGCAGTTTAGAGTCAAAAATATTTAACGACTCAATACCTTTTAGGGTCAATTTATGGTTATTTATTTCCTTTATCAAACAAACATGAAAGAACGGATGAAAGATGTTGTCTGACAGTCACTGAACAAACATTTTAGGGGTTGAAATCAACATGGTTCAAACAGCTCTTTTAATTCATGTGTAGCTTTTAGTAATATATACAATATGAGTGGCCGTGTTGTATCAGATATACATGTACAACCACGAGCCGAAGGCAAGTGATTGTATATCTCATACAACACGGACACGAATATTGTATATTACTTATGAAACGTCTAGGTGTGTACATTCATGTTCTACTATAATTTTAAAGATAAAATTGAATTTGGCTAAGAAAATTGGAGTTAAAGTTCATGCAAATCAGGACAATTTTGTATCAGATATACAACCTCCTCCACGGACGATGATTTCTATTGTGTTTTCCTCATTAATTATTCAYGAGTTTTATAAGGGGTCTTAATAACCCCTGACTTAATATCCCATTCATTGCTTATTGCCTAAAAAAATAGTGTCAAGTACTGGTTATTTGCTCAATTATAAATGCTGCTTTTATCAACAGATCCATTGGACAAGAACTGGTGAACTCCCAGCAGAAAAACTATGGTTTCTGTATTTAGTTGGTACTTGCCTGATTCTTGAGTCAATATTTACTGATGTCCTACTCTTTCATGTACCCAGTTAACCAATTCATTTCATGCTGTTGGGTAAATATTGATGATAATAGTAAGGGTTCATAATAGTTGAAGTATAAACCAACATTCTAATTTAATTGATAAACTATTCATCCGGAATGACCTGCCGACCCATATAGTACCATTTAGGACCTGTAAGATTCACTATCTGCCAGCATAAAAAAATATCAAAAATACATGAAATACGAAAAAAGACATTTACACATTTAGGCATTTACATATTTACACACTTACACATTTAAACTAAAAGAAATATCACGTGTTTCCTCAAACGTTTTGTCATAAAACAAACGCTGAAATGCAATTCTCCATCTTAAATCCTCACTAAATGGTCGAGGCATTCTGGATTTTCGATTCACGAGTTAAATTTTACATTTAAAGTTCAGGCTCACTTTAGTCTAAATGTGTAAATGTGTAAAATGTGTAAATGTGTAAAATGTGTAAATGTCTAAATGTCTAAATGTGTAAGTGTCTTTTTTTGGTGGACAACGTTAATGACATTGACTGTACATTATAGTTGGGTTTGATAAATTATATAAGAATCACATTTTAACAAAAAACAAACAAAAAATATATATAATCATAGAATAGACATTTATCACATGACAGCCATGTTTATTCACTCATGAAGCACATTTATGTGAGGTTATATGTGAGTCTTTTGAAGCCACATGAAGGGAATATATTTTTTATTTACTAGTTTGATCAAAGGTTCAACTGTAATGCTAGTTCTCTGGTCATAATCAAAATATGCATCAATAAAGAATGGAAAGATGTTTTTCAAACATTGTGTTTTTTTCTTCAACTTCTTTTAATATGCATCCTTCTTTCCTTGGTCCATTTTCCATACATAGTGAGCCAATGATTTAGAAAACAAATAATAACAACAATAACAACAATTGAAATAAAAACAATAACAACAATAACAGCAACAACAACAATGAGCCAATGATTTAGAAAACAAATAATAACAACAATAACAACAACAATGAGCCAATGATTTAGAAAACAAATAATAACAATAACAATTGAAATAAAAACAATGACAACAACAACAATGAGCCAAAGATTTAGAAAACAAATAATAACAACAATAACAACGACAGCAATAACAACAATTGAAATAAAAACAACAACAATAATAATAATAATGGAAACTCTATCATTGCTTTTTTTCTTAATTTTATGATTGTAAACTTCACTGCTTTCAGGTAGCTTTCAGGAACTTTATTATTATTATCAGTATTCATTTAGATATTTATCTTTTTTATATTATTATTCGTTTTTTTTAGCTATAGATTTTTATATTTATTTTTGTTGTGTCCTCAATTAGAGTACAAACACTATAAGTGTGCAACATAAATACCACTATATACTGCTGAATTATGCTAATCCTATTTTCTATTGTTTTATTAGCACTATTTACTACTAAATAGTGCAAAGTGTTGCACACTCTTAGTGTTTGTACTCTAGCTTTACAGCTAAATATTTTTGACAAGGTAATAAAATTTATTATTATTATTATTAGCTTTTAATCGTTTACTTGCAATTGATTCAACTTTAAATTCACAAAAAGATATGCAGCTTTTTTTTAAAGGTTGAATGCTGAATACTGCATACTGAATAGTGCATTCCAAGACCAAAGGGCAATGTGGGTCTCGTTAATTTGAAATAAGAAATAAATATACAGCAGTTAACTAGTACTCTCAACATGCAGTTAGTATATTGTTTCAGATGGAGTACATTAAAAATAGAATAAGTAATTTTATCATATAATTATCCATAAAATACATATATTTCTCCTTTTCGAAAAACTGATATTTTCACATGTGAAAATAACATGTCATTTTCACATGTGAAAATATTGTTACCATGTGTATTTAAGCTATTAGTTTATAAATAAAAACTTTTTATAATAATAAAAAGCTTATGAAGTTGATTTTATGGATAATTATATAATAAACAGAATATTACATGGGCGCTTGGAGATACGAAATTTATCTTCTCATGTTGAAAATCTCTAACTCGTTCGCTGCGCTCACTCGTGAGAGATCTTTTCAACACTCAAAGATAAATTTTGTATCTCCGTGCGCCCATGTAATATCCTCTATATTATTAATCCTACTTTACTAGACAATGTCACTATGACCCACAATGCACTTCGTTCTTGTAATGCACTATTCACTATTCAGTATTCAACCTTTTTTGAAATAACTATAAATTACTAATTATCAACTACTAGAAAACTCTTACTCAACGACTAGAAGAAGGGGAAAAAACGCTGGATAAATCCATACTTTGTTTCTGCACCAAAAAATAAAATAAGTCCGTCCTAATATTCTTGATAATAAATTTCTGATGTTTATCATCAAAACCGAGATCTTTCAACTTAGTAAGAAATTTTGACAACTTTTTTTCAAATACATGTACACCTAAAGCACTAAAAGATAAATTGATAAACCTGAACTTTCTTGAATTTTTTTACACTGTATAATGTGATGATGATAATGACGATGATGATGATGTTGATGATAATGATGATGATGTTGATGGTAATGATGATGATGATGATAATGATGATAATGATGATAATGATGACAAATTATGGTGATTAGGTGGATACTCCAAAGACCTCGAGACTGGCACTGTCCGGACGTTGGTTGTAGCAAGGAGCAAAGACGTGTGTCTCAAGATGCAAAAGGCAGTTCTGTCAAACAGCTGCACATGCATCACGCGTCACTTTAAGATCATGACGTGAGAACTTTGCGTTTACCCGTCAGAGACACTGAAAAAGCTATTTTCTAGTCACTATTTTATTAATTGACTTTTTTAGACAATAATTATAAAAACAATCAAATGCGCATCGCAATTATCTGTCGTTACAATAAATAAGCCTTTTTGGATTTTTCAAGTCAAAGTTATCAAAGCCTTCATTTCCTGATACAATGAAGTTTGAAGATCTAAACTCTCCTAGCGCTTAGGATAAGGGTGATGCTTTCAAACTTTACTTTGTATCAGTGTTCTGTCCATCAGACTTTACGTTTTCAGCTTCCCCCACAAGACCTCTACTTATTTCTCAGTGGAATCTGTAAGGCCCTGGCTAAACGAGGAAACATATTTTCTTAAATGTTTCCAAAGGTGGCAAAACTGTCAGGGAACATCGGGAAACATGTTTACTCGATATCGGTTAGCGCAAGATAGAGCTAGCGTTGCTAAGTAACGAACTTTTAGAATGTTGACTTTCGTGGCTAAACGAGGAAACATTGGGAAACATTGTTTTCATGCGTCTTGGAAACATGTAATGTTTCTGCCGCACAGCAGAAACATTTTAGCGTCTTGGAAGCAAAATTTGTTGCACGTAGCAATGTTTCGCATGTGGCTAAACTTGGAATCATCGGGGAACATGCGCGCGGGAAACTTGTTTCCTCTTTTGGCCAGGACCTAACTCTATCTGTTTCAGAAGTTCAGACCGGCTTTACTATCCAAACTCCCCCTCGCGTCATGAAGCACTAATTAGAAGTTCTCGCCCCTTCGTTAACTTATCTATCCAACAGGGTAAGTACTATCGGAATTGAAACTCGCAAATGTCGATCCTTTACCCAAGAAGGGTGACCCCACGAGGTCACAAATCACAGACCTGTTTCCTTACTTTCCTCTTGTTTCCGACTGTTCTCTTATTGATCATAGATGACGCCTTATAATGTTCAAAACTAGGTCACCAGTAGTTTAGGGACCGATCATTATTTAACGAGGGGGGGGGGGGCGACTATTTTTTGGGGGGGGGGAGGGCCATTATTTTTAAGGTGTCGTTTAGGGGACGGCTACAATTTTTCGAAATTAGTTCTGGGAGCCATTATTTTTTGAGCCCGAGGTTATTAAGATATTGTCGTGCATTAAAAACAGCATTTCTCGAGATTTTGAAAGTAGAATATCGCAACAAATTTTGCACCTTTCCAACATTCCATTTATATATATTTGCAATTGCCAGTCAACTGATCTTGTATATGCAGAACAGTGTAATGCGAAATAAATCAACATACACTAGCTGTGCAAAAGACCAGTTGCACAAGCCACTGCTATCAGACCCACCGTTCAAGGGGTTTGCATCGATCCATGCCAGTAACCTATATTAACCTGACCGATGGCGTTGTCATCCATAAGTGGTCACAATCTTTTTTTAAATTATAAGAAATAATTAAATGAGCTTTCCAAAGTGCGAATCTCTGCGGCGTTTTTACGACTTTAATATTAGGCTGCGTTCATAATGTATGGCAGGGGGGAGGGGGGCAGGTAAAATCTTTAAATGACAAAAAAATTCTTAAGATCACCCCTTGAAGTCCCCCCCAAAAAAAYYYCCCCYAAAWTTCMCCYSCCCCCCCCCCCCCCGCCATACATTATGAACGCAGCCTTAGCTGAGATCGAATCAAAAATATGGGGGGGAAATGTTGTCAATCACAGTGCCTATACCACATAACTTAATATTTTCAGTATTGATTTTACATAATAGTGAATATAGTGAATAGTTGAATGGTTAAGAAATTTTCATATGATTTGAGTGATGCATCTTGAAGATATAAAGGTTTATATTTCCCAATATGTTAATGATCTAGTGTGATGTCATTATAGGCATGATTAAGGCCTCGTCCACACTATTGCCGGATAAATTTGAATCCGCAACTTTCACACCGAAATCGAAAAAGAGTTTTCCGTCCATACATGAAAACGGATAAAATGTTTCGCGTCCACACTAGTCCCATCAGAGGCGGCAAAAACGCTTCATTGATCATCGCAAAAGAATTGAGAGCGCGGTGAATTTTTAGCCTTCCCGCCATGTTCCCATGACAATCATGACGTCATCGTATTCGAAACATTTCAGATACGAAATGTTCTCCGTCCACACTAATGATACGGTTAGCCGGCGTTTTCAAATTGTTCCACTTTGGAGACCGTATTCCAAAAAATTCGTTTTCGGTGAAGAATTGTTCCGGATTCGCCAGGACTAGTGTGGACGGTAGGCCTAACCAAATAAATAAAAATTCGGATTCAAATTTATCCGGCATAGTGTTAGTTTCCTTCGCATCCGTTTTCAGTGTCGGTCGTCACGCAACGCTCCCTCCCCCTGTGGGGAGGGAGCGTTGCGTGACGACCGACACTAAAAACGGATGCGAGGGGGACTAGCATAGTGTGGACGGGGCCTAAATAAACAACAACCCCCCACAGATCACATACTTGATTGCATCGATCAGAGTCAACTGAATGTGAACGAAGACGAAAATACGTATACCTAGCCTTCGTTCATAAAGCTCAGGCTACGAAAACCCAGAAACGAAAACAACAAAATAGTTCAAGTTGTTGCGCTGTTATTCCCCGTAAATCTTTCAAATTTTAACTACCTGTCTTCAAAGATAACAGAAAAATGGAGGATGACGACTTTAGCTTAACACAATTAGAGAACGACATCTTTTTGTGCAAAGAAAAACACTACGCTTTGGAGTGGAATGTAGCAAATCTTTGGGTTGTTAAGGGTTCTAAGATGGATCTGGTTATCGATACAGGAATAGGGCTGTGGGATTTACCTCAGTTTCTTAAAAGGAAAGGTGTGATTGGAGACAAGCCGTATCAAGCAGTTGCTACTCATGTTCACTTTGATCACTCAGGCGGTCTATATCAGTTTCCAGAGTTTGCAATCCATCGAGCTGAAGCACCGGCCATCCAAAATGGCGATCAATACGAAGCTGCAAGCTTCATGAAGAAATCTCATGTGGCGAAACCACCAAGCAAAGACTGGTCTGCCAAGAACTACCGTGTAAAAGCAGCTCAACCGACGAGGCTGCTTGACGACGGAGACATTTTTGACCTAGGTAACCGAAAACTTCGAGTTCTTCATCTTCCAGGTCACTCGAGAGGAAGCATAGCCCTGCATGAGGACCAAACCCGAAGTCTATTCACTGGAGATATCATATACGATGGTCCTTTGATGGACTTTGCACCATTCAGTAATGTGTCGCACAATATCAGGTCCATTGAAGCGATTCTCGCACTTGCTCCAACTGTGGACCGTGTCTATCCAGGTCACCGTGGATATTTTGATGGAGATACTTTGAAGCAACTGGCATCCGATTATCTTGCTAGCGCATCAGGATGCTTGCATGGCGTTGGTGCTGGTTGTCTAAAGGCGGCAACTACAGTCTTGATTAAGGGCAGAAACACCAATGATGTGCCGGCCAAGTGTTGCTACTACTCATGCTGTTGCTGTCTTGTCGAGTCTTTATTGTGACTTAGAGCTAGTCAAGCCAAAAAAAGTATTTTTCTTCCAACGATAGAGCGTCTCAGGTTTGGGACAATAAAATCTCCAATAAAACAAACGCATCCCCAAAACCATTATCCATTAATGATGTCATTAAATGGAACACTGACAACATCATGTTTTATTAAAAATCATGGTTCTCCCCTTCAGTTTTCTGTTGCTGGTAAAACCATGAATGCATCTGACAAAGTCTGTGATCTAGGAGTAATCTTAGACAAACATATGAGCATGTCATCTCATATTAATGAAACCTGCAAGACAGTAACACTGACTTTAAAATCCACTGGATAGATAAGAAAGTATGTTTAGGATCAAGTTAAGATTCTACTACTCATGTATAAAGCTGTAAATGGTTTGGCACCTAACTACCTCTCTAAACTTATAGATGTCCGCATAGACTGCAAGCTAAGTCCCTCTATTTCACTTGGTCACTGTCCATCTGCCTGTCCATGTCGATTGGTAAAAAAGTCCCTGGGGGAGGGGGCTCAACACGGACAGACAGACAGACAGTGGCCAAGGGAAATAGAGGGACTTATTAGCTCTCAGTCTAATGTCCACAGACCTACACGATCTCTTAGATCTTCTATAACAAATTACTCCTTAACCTTCTCAAGACCAATACGCAGCTGCTGAACTCTGGAACTCTATACCTGATAACATTAGAACTTCTCCATCAGTTGAAACATTTAAAACTAAACTCAAAACATTTTTCTTTGATTAAGCATATAGTTCATGATAACACCATGTATTTTAATTATTATTATTATATATATA